GTATCCAGTATACTCCTGCAGTGGTGAGGGGGTACCTTTTGTCCATTGCTGACTGTAACATTTGTTGTATTTTTGTGGTGGGCTTGAATACTGTTTGTAAGTTGCATTTTTTCAAAAGTTTCCCCATGCAGTCCATGACCCTTTTCATGTATGGCAGAAATACTTTATTTGTGGGTGGCTGTTTTTCTTCTTCAGTTCAGTATTGTTTTCTCAGTTTGATGGCTTTTGTGATTTCATTCCTGGAGTAGCCATTTGCCTGTAGGGCCCAATTCAGATGGTTGAGTTCGGTGCTGAGAAATTGAGCTTCAGAGTTCCGATTCACACGGTCTACCAGTGTTTTGATTATGCCTCTCTTTTTTCGTGGGTGGTGGTTGGAGTTTTAGTGTAGGTACCGGTCTGTGTGGGTGGGTTTTCTGTAGACCTTGTGTCCCAATAGGAGGTCAGGTTTGCATAGGACCATGACATCTGAAAAAGAGAGTTGGCCCTCTATTTCTTTTTTCCCTTGTGAATTGTATATTTGGGTGGGTGCTATTGAGATGGCTTAGAATTTGTTCCAGTTTTTCTTCACCGTGGCTCCAAACTGCAAAGGTGTCACCCACATATCGGAACCAGACTGTGGGTGTGAGGGGTGCCGAAGCCAGGGAAATCTTGGAGAAAAAAGTCACCATAAGTCAGAGTTAACTGGACAGCATATGATGATTATTACTAAAATAAAGTTTTAAGCATGACATACGGTAGCTCTGACTTATGAAATCTGGCGCACAGGACATTAAACATTAGTTTTCAAAGGTATCATTGTCCTTACATATTGATTCTCCCCTTTTCTTCTTGACGTCTTTTCTGCCTAGGATATGAAGACTCTGGATAAAGAAGTGCGAGCTTGGGATGTGTATTTGGGATTGGAATCAACTGTTAAAAATGTATTGGTCTCCTTAAGAGCTGTCAATGAACTTCAGAATACTGCCGTCCGGAAAAGACACTGGCAGCAACTCATGACTGCAACCGGGGTATAGCTTTTTGGTTTTTCCGCACAAGGGCTTTACACAGGTAGATCCGCTGTCTTCTCCCCAGGTGCGAAGGGATTTGCTTTGTTTCCGCTGCCAGGTACGCTTTGTCATGGATGAAGACACCACGCTAGGAGATCTTTTCGCCCTTCAGCTCCACAGGGTGGAAGATGAAGTTCAGCGCATTGTGGATAAAGCTGTGAAAGAGATGGCAATAGAAAAGGTAATGGCTGCTTTGGTCGTAAATAGTCTGCATCCAAAATGACATTCATGTCAATCGATCAGCAGGCGTGATGTTAAGACCAGCAGGGCTGCCACCTGAAGAAGGATGACTGGATGCTACTCTGTTTTCTATGGTCACCATATTTTGCAAGTGATTCACAGCCATTACAACATGGTGTGTTTTTTTTCCTCCCCATAGGCACTCATGGAAATCAGCCAGACATGGGGTGTTATGGATTTCTCATATGAACTACATTACAGCACTGGCACACCATTGTTAAAATCTGAAGAAAACCTCATAGAGACATTAGAAGACAATCAGGTGATGACTCGCATTCAGTTTTATTTACTTTGGAAGAATGGACTGAATGTTCCCATTTGGATTATGCCTTACAAATGCCAAATTTGTTACCTTTGGCCTATGTATTTTGGCCAATGTCTGATCTTCTGTCTTATTAGACCTTCCTCCAAGGTTTAATGCATATTGGAGGTAGTGCCTTGTAGCTTTGTGGGTGGAGTGTTGCTGACTCCATTAGAGGTATAATTATCATTAAGCAGTACTGTGCATTTTCCCTTGCAAGTGGTACACAGTTTTCAAGCAGCCACGATTTCCTGCTTTTTCCCCTTTACTGAAATGCAGAGCAAAAATGTATAGATCTTGGGAAATGTATAAATCTCTGAGGCAAGGAGCACATTGACCTCTTGGTGGTCTCGAGAGCAATGAAAATGAGCCTTTCCCTTGGGCAATGTGAATTTTGTTTTTCATTCCTCTCCTTCAGAGAGTCCTCTAGCGACACAGCTTTTATGACACCACAGCCAATGGCAGTGAAAAGGGGGCTTATTGGGGGGGGATATTCCTTATTCAGAACTGTATGTGTATCTCTTTGAGTTCTGGCCCTCGTAAACATGCGTGCTGTTTATGCCGAATCGAAAACGCAGATCCTGTTACAGTTTCAACTGAGAAGCATTTTTATTTTAAATGAACAAAATATTAGTTTCAAAGTGCACTACTTGCCTCAGTACAGTATTTCAAAAAAGACTACAATTCTAAGCATGAAATATATCAACATGATTGTAAATCTCTGGGTGGTTCCCCTGAAAGTTTATTTCAGTGGGAGCAAAACCTTTCTAAAATTTCCATATACTTTTTAGCATATGTACAAAAGAATGTCAATAGTTGCATTTAATTAAATATTAATTTGTTTTAATCCACGTGGCAACCCTTCCTATTTCCAGGCTTAAACCACAATTCCAAATATTCCCCAAGTAAACAAAAAATATATATGAAAAATATGTGTTGGCTTTAAAATAAAGAACAAATTGTCTCCAAGAGACTGTGACAATACTGTCTTTACATATATCCCCCTCAGTTCTAAGATAGAATTCAGAGTCAAGAATGGTTATGAGGGGCAGGCACTGAGGGCCTATTACACTGATGCCGTATCAGTGACACTGGCCTGCCTAGTCATTTCAGGCTTCAGTTTAAAGCCCATAATAGTTTAAGACCAAGTTATTTGAGTAGCCCCCTCCCAGGAGCCAGTGGACCACATCCTTGTAAACCTAAGCTCTAAGGTGAACTCAAAGACCCAGTTGTTCACAGGCTAACCAGAATGTTCTGTCAGCCTGCCTGGCACCAAGTGGTTGACGCCTTCCTCCCATTGAATAGTCAGTAGTAAGAAGATCGTGCAAATCACATGTAAAACGTTTCAAGACCATGACGTGTGTTTCTGTTCATCTCAGTTGAAGCGTGGGACAAAGGAGCACCATCAAAATGTTATAAGGCACCATTCAGGATCCAGCAAGCCATGCCCTTTCAGGAGATTCCACTCCATTCCTACCCTCGTTCTGTTTTCATCCCCCAGCAGCACTCCTTCGCTCTCTTCTCACTTGTTATTAATTACTTAATTTATATCCTGCCTTTCTCTCAATAAAGAGATGCAAGACGGCATGCAGCAACTAAAACACACGCATGTATTTAAAATCCAATAAATGAAGCCATTAACGTTGAAATCTAATTAAACCAACAGAATGTTAAAATCATTATTAATCAAAAGATATTTAAAATAGTTGCCAAATGTATGCTGATAAAAATTCTCATTGGATTTGTGGAGTGTGGTTGCCCACTAGGACCTTTTCTTGAAGTTGATTTGTGCTTTTGCAAAACATGGGTTCAATACTTCTTCCCTGAATGACATCCTTTGGCTACATAAGAATTCCCTCTTGAAGAAGGAGCTTGTTAATAGTCTATGTGAGGGTAGACTGGTTTATGGTCTAGCTGCTTCTACTAGCACTCCCTTTGCTAAAATTGAAACCAAAATTGAACTGATGTTTTGCTTTTTTTGAAAATCTGTCAGAGTACAGTTAAGATATCAAGTATACCATAAAATCAGAGCTTAGAAAAGTTAATTATTTGGACCACAGCTCTCCAAATTCTTCAGCTATCATGGCCAATGGCTTTGCTGGCCGGAGAATTCTAGACGTTGTTATTTTTCCATGCTCTGAATAAATAAATAAAAAGTAAAAAAAGATTCCCCCCCAAAAAAGAAAAGAAAAGGAAGGATAATGTTTCTTCTTCTTTAAACTCGAATATTCCAGTCTTACTGGATCTCCTAGACCAGTGGTTCTTAACGATGAGCCCCCAGATGTTCTTAGACTAAAACTCTCAGAAGCCTTCACCACTAACTGTTCTGGCCAGGATTTCTGGGAATTGTAGTCCAAGAACATCTGGGGACCCATAGTTGGGAACCACTGTCCTAGACTATCTCTGCTTGCTGAAGGCTGTGGCTGTAGGTAGAAAGAAACTGGCAGTCATTTGTGCATGGTCCTGCCTGGGTGGTATGTACTGAAATGTCATTTATAGATGCCATGGCTCTTACAGTTATTGAAAACAGGAAGATATTCTCATTTGAACTAATTGATGCAAATTGCATCCTGGACCTTTTTGTAAGGCCGAGTGACTAGAATGGTCGAAATGACCAGATAGGCGGGGTATAAACAGAATAATTAGAATAAATTGAATGAATGAATGAATGAATGAATGAATGAATACATACATACATACATAAATACATAAATACATAAATGCATAAATACATAAATAAATAAATAATGTGGCTCTCACCATAAAGGAGCTACAAAAAAACACCCAAGCCACAGGATGAGAACCCTGGCACTAATTAAATCCCAAGTCAATAGTTCTCTGTGGAAAATTATTGACAAGCTTCATTCATTGTCAACAGTTGTCTTAAGTTAAGCACATATTGGTTAAACAGAGTGCATCCTCCTCACATATGCTTCAAATCCAGTAAAATGGGGATGTTACTCTATTTGTGATGTTCACACATGCATGCTGAGCCTTATGGAAGCACTGATCCTACCCATACATAAGAGAGAGGTGTCAGTAGATTTCATGAAGCCTTCAGCAGGGTGTGGCGTTTTTTGTTTTTAAAGTAAAATTCTTCAAACAACAACAACAAACAAACCTGAGGAGAGAAACACCCCCTCTCCCTGCCCAAAAGCAGCTGAATGAGAAATGAATGCACTCAGCTGGTTGATTATTGAGAAGGAAATTAAAACCAAGTAGGAATGGAATGGAAAGTTTTAGAGTCAGGCATGACTTACTAACAGTGACAAGGACATTGTGCTACAGATTCCCCCTTGTTAACAATCGGAAGATGTCAGAATGGCAATCAATATAATTAACAAATTGCTTTATTACAATATTGTTGCAGGTTCAGCTTCAAAACGTCCTAATGAGTAAATATGTGGAATATTTTTTGGTGGAGGTCAGCAGCTGGCAAAAAAGATTAATGGTAGCAGATACGGTAATTTCACTGTGGCTGGAAGTGCAGCAAACCTGGGCCCACCTGCATAGTATTTTCACCAATTCTGAGGACATTCGGAATCAGCTCTCAGAAGACACCAAAAGATTTGAGGGAATTGATCAGGACTTTAAGGTAAGAGCAGGCCTACATTTTTCATACATGGCAGGAAAATGTGGTCCTCACCTGACCAGATAGGGGTCCTCGCCTGACCAGATAGGTGGGATATAAATAAAATAAATAAAATAAATAAAAATAAAAAATGAATATTTTTAGAAAAAATGTCATGGTTCTTTTTCAAGTAAAGTCAGCCCCAACACATTTATGTTTCATAACGCAAGAGCAAAAGGGCTTCTATGTCAAACACTTATGTAGTCTTGAAACCTTCACTTTTCTGTGATTGAGGTGGATACTGGGTAATTGTATTCAAGCCAGAAAGAACATGGCCCAGTTCAAATGGCTAAAAGGGGCAGAACAATATATGTGGTGGAATACTGGGTCTATAACCTAACCCCCTCCCCAAGGAGCAGACTATGATGTGCAACGTTGGTACTCTATGTAAAGAGTGGTCCGTCGGCCACCTCCAGTGAGCGAGCAAGCAAAATTGTGACATGCATTCCTAATCAGCAAAAGTTTCATATTTCAGGCAAAGTAGCCCATTTGCAAGCCGGTGCCACAGCAGGTGTATTTGTTTTTCTGACACCACAAGAAGATGCTACCTAAACAGCAAAGAAGTTTTTCAGACTGTGCTGTTAGGGTTCAGTGTCTCTGTAATTACAGTATAAATGTCCATTCAACTGCTGTAACTATAAACTCTAGCCAAACTCCTGTTAGAACTACGCCCGCCTAACTCAAAGTTACACAAGCAGCTGCAAAATTCACACAGTTCATTGTCTAATCAATTGCACAAACAGGCACACAATGTGGAGTGCTGAGCTGCAACTCCCAGAAACTTCTGCAGGCTTGACACTATGCCAAGTGCAATACGATTTCAGTCTATATGTTATTAATAATGTGAGGTTATAAGATAGTATCAACAAGTGGGATAATAACAGTGATATAATAGTGGGATTTACTTCTGAGTATCCGAGATTCTACTACCGACCTACTTGGGTTGGATCCAAACTATGTTAGCTGAAGGTACCATAAAATTAATGGAAGAAGTAATCATAAGTTAAATCCCACTGATTTTAGTGTGAACAAAGGGCAAAACCATCTAAGTGTAGATCCATGCCTTTATCTAATATTTCTCACATTAACCATACAAAGTAGGCAACTACAAATTCATTTTCTCAGGATGACTTTCCCAGATATTGCCCTGCATTTCAGTTCATGTTGGAACATATTCAGATCTTTCCTATAACCATATATGAGCCAACAGTGTGATGTAGCTATAAAAAACGTCAGTGCTATTTTAGGCTGCATTAACCAAAGTATAGTTTCCAAATCCTGCGAGGTGCTGGTTCTCCTCTATTCAGCACTGGTTAGGCCTCACCTTGAGTATTGTGTCCAGTTCTGGACACCACACTTCAAGAAGGATGCTAATAAATTAGAAAAAGTTCAGAGGAGAGTGACAAGGATGATCAGGGGCCTGGAAACCAAGCTTTACGAGGAAAGGCTAAAAAAATTGGACATGTTTAGCCTGAAGAAAAAAAGGTTGAGGGTTGATATAATGACATTTTTCAAGTACTTGGAAGGTTGTCCTACAGAGGAGGGGCAAGATCTGTTCTCGATCATCCCAGAGTGCAGGGCACACAACAATGGGCTCCAGTTACAGGAAGCCAGATTTCAGATGAATATCTGGAAAAACTTCCTAACTGTTAGAGCTGTATGACAGTGGAATCATTTACCTCAAGAGGTGGTGAGTGCTCCAAATCTGGAGGCATTCCTGGGAAACTTAGACAACCACCCGGCAGATATCCTTTGAGTAGCATTCCTGCATCGAGCAGGGGGTTGGACTCAATGGCCCTATAGGCCCCTTCCAACTTCATAATTCTATGGTTCTGTGATTTTAATACAGCATTCCATCCAAAATGCCACACTGGCTATTAAAGGGGAAAAAGTTTCACTGTGTGTTTAAAAATATTTTTATTCCCCCCCCCTCCACTTTACTGTTTGCATTATTCAGGGACTTATGGCTGTGGTGGTGAAGACAAAAAATGTGATAGAAGTAACAAACCAGATGGGATTGCTTGAGAAACTGGAAATCCTGCAACAGAGGTTTGACTTAAATAAATCTAACATTTTCCATTTAAATACTGTTGCTAATGTAATCTGTCCTGCTTGAATTCGAGTATTTGCAAATGCTGATACATTCCAGCCTGGATGACAATCAGCACTTCTCAGTCTCATTTCTGGCAGTGGAAGCTAGTGGCTCTGAGGTCAGAAGGACGTAAATCTACTCTGGGTTTTAGCCCAGAGTCCAGACTTTAAAGGACTCTGATTCTGTTAAGGGGATAGAGTTCACCAGGCTAAACCGCAGAAGCCTGTGCTGCAGGGTCAGAAGAACAAGCAGTCGTAAGATCGAATCCATGCGACGGAGTGGGCACCAGTACTTGTCCCAGCTCCCGCCAACCTAGCGGTTTGAAAGCATGCAAATGCGA